CTGGGGCGGGGCCTCTGCTCCCTGGAAGCCCGCCCATCTCTCTGAGCCCCAGCACTTTCCCTTTCCCGGAAGCTGCTCACGGTGCTGTCAGGCAGAGCAGAGTGGAGCCCCTGAGATAATCAGGGCAGCGCCACGCAGGACTGGGCCCCAGGGTGGCCTCCCAGCCCTGTTCTGACAGCCAAGGCATCTTCATGTTCGTGCTCTGCCCCGGGGGTGATTTGCTCTGAGCAGTTTGCTTCACTGAACCAAGGAGCACGGGGTCTTCTCACCTCTCCTTTCTCCCACTCTGATGTAATCGTTGGGTTCCCTCCCTCCTTCCAAATGCAGGAAAGAAAGTGAAAATCGGTCTTTCTTTACAGGACATTTGGGTCTTGTTCCCCTCGATGTCATCCGTCTGGCTTAAATTAACTCATAAATCTTGACAGGTCTCAGAGTTCTTACATGGACAGAAAAGTGCACCCAGTCTCCTAGTATTAGCCAGACAAACGTTTTGCAAAGCAAGTCGATGCCACACCCTTCGCTAGAATTTATTTTGCTCCGCATGCAAGTTATTTTTTTTTCACAAACTTGTTTATTTATATCAGTATATAGCCAGTTTTTAAACATCATTTAAATCAGAGTAATAACCCTCACTGGGTATCTCAGTAACAGCATTGTCCCAATAAACCGAGGCTTGGGTCCAACCCCCAGTCAGGGCACCAAAGAAATGGACCAATGCACACATAAATAAAAAAACAACAAGCTGATGTTTCTCTGTGTCATTCCCTCCCTCTCCCTCTAAAATCAGTAACAAACTGAAAATGTAAAAATAAGTTAATAAATACATTTAAACTTCTCCAATTCATTATAGTAAATATACTCAGATATAATCAAATGAGCAAAAGCTAGTTGGGTGCTCAGTAATCTTGAAGTATATCGAATCCTGAAAACAAGAAGCTGGAACCCGATGCCCGCCCCCCCCATCCTGACTTTGAAAGAATGTGGTTCACTGCTCACCTGATCACAAGGGACTTTAAAACAGAAGCCATTCTCACTGACCGAGAATATTTACTGCAGGGAACCTGACACAGGCCAGATCCGAGTGTCCTTGACTGTCATCCCTCTGCTTTTGTCTTTGACCCTCCATCCTGGAGCTTCGCTCTGAGGCCGGGAGCTCTGGGGGACGGTGGGGATGGACCTTCTGGTGCTGGACCCCTGGCTGTCATGGGGGGGCCACCACCCCAACAGCCTGGGCCCTCCCAGCTCTTGGGTCCCCCTTCCTCCACCTCTGACCCCCAGTGGTGGCTCCTCACCCCTCAGGCCCTGGTGCATCCTGCTGTCCTCACCCCGAGTCCACAGTGTCTGGTGTCACCTCAGGTCCCATGCTGACACGTCACCCTGATGTCAGAGCAGCAGGCTGTCAGCCTGTCACTGTCCCACATTGTCCTTGTTTGGGAGCCACATGGAAGCACTGGCTCCCCTGAGACTGGCCCCTGCCCCGTGGGGACAAGCTCACCAGCTGCTAGAGCAACAGCCTGAGTGGGGGATGGGCTGGGACAGGAGAGGGGTCCCTGGCCTGTGGGGCAGGTTCTCTGGTGTGCCCAGAGGGAGGGGCCGAGTCCTCTGGGTGCTGTGCTGTGTGATCAGAGACGGCCGGGGCTTCTCTACTGAGCTCTCAGACCAGGGCACTGGCCTTGATGGCTGCAGTGGTTCCCTACTCCATGGAGAACCAGGCCACCCTCAGGCACAGTGACCCCCTGGGCCCCCGTGAATGCTGGGCAGAGGAAGAGGGGGCTGTCATCAGAGCCCAGCCTGAGGAAGGAACTCAGGGGCCCCGAGAAGTGGGAGCGGGGACACGTGTAGATGTGGGACCGATCCCTCATGTTGTAGAAGGAGACGTCTCCACATTCGTAGTCCAGGAAGACGGCCACCTGGCGAAGGCGCTCCTTCAGGGGAAGGGTCTTCTTGTGAGAGGACAGGACCCGGCACTGGTGTCCAAACAGCAGGACCCAGGACCAGGGCCCCGAAGCCATTCTGAGGGACCAGCAGGGCCTCCCCCTTCCTCTGCACATGGTCTGCACAGACCCCCACGGCCACAGAGTCACGTTCTCCACACCCACCTCCCAGTCCCGTCTCCCTGAGGGAAGCTGTCCCCTCGCAAGACACACGGCCAGCAGGTGAATCTCTCAGGGTGGTAGGGCAGGATCTCTCTGGAAGGGACCCACTGTACCCTCCTCCCATCCTAGGACTGGAAGTCTTGGGGTGAGGCCTGGGTGCTCAGGGGGACCTGGGAAGCTGGGGGGGCATACCCATAGGGTGGGACCTCCATGAAGCCCCGTGACCGCAGACCCCAGGCAGCTCACATAGGACAGCCCCTGAGGCTGCATGTCCACCTGCTGAGTGAGGGGGTGGGGCCTCAAGGAGAGCACACCTGGGCACTGAGTGAGCAGAGAGTTTAGCAAAGGAGCTGAAGTTAATGTCTCCCACTTTCCTTATTATCAGGACCTGCTTGAACAATGTTCTATTCAAGTCATGTGATCTGGAGACTCTTTTTAGTTGGAAACTTTCCAAACTGGCTTTAAACACTGAAGACTCTGTCTCTTCCCCCAACCCAGTAAAGCACTCCAGGCCACTCACCCACCCCTGGAACTCAGGACCTGCTGCCTCACAAGGAAACCCCAACCTCCTAGTCAGTGACGTGTGCTCCCTTCTCTGTGCCCCTTGCTCTTGCCCCAAACCCATCAGGGAGAGGGTCCCCTGCAGGTGAGGCCCTGTAACCCCCCAATTCAGGGGTGGCCCTCTCTTGAACAAAAGATGTGAAACTCATTCATAAAAAGTTTTAGTTTTGTCACCTGTCAGGGCTGAGCAGACAGAAGAGCAGCAGCACCTGCAGTCCCCATGGGAAGGACCAGATGAATAAAAACCCACAACCGTCACCGTCCCCAGCTGAGCCGCCCTCACTGGGGCCTGGTCACTGCAACGCCCTCCTTCCGGCGTCTGCCCCAGTCCCTGCCCTGGCTCCTGTCTCACCGAGACTCCACCACAGGCCCCCCTGGGACCTGCTTTGCCCCGTCTGGTCTGGCCCCTTCCAGGTCCGCACCCCCCTCCTCCCACCCTCCCTGCACTCAGTCCCTCCACCCACACCTGCCTCCCGCGTTCCTCGAAACTGCCAGACGTGCTGCTGCCTCAGGCCCCGGGCCCCTGTCCCTCCTGCTCCCTGGTGCTCACCCCTCACGTGCCCTGTTGCCCCTTCTCACAGGAGCCTCCCCTCACCTTTCCAGTCCATCACCGCTCCCCTGCCTCTAGCCCTCCAGACATTCTTCCCTGATTGATTTTTCTACAGCACTTACCACCATCTGATGTAGTAGTTTAATTATTTTATTCCTTTACTTAATTGTTTCATAGATTACTTTCTGCTTTGTAAAATGTGAAGCCATTGAGGGAAGGTCTCTTTATGCATTTTGTCCCCTGATTTGTCTCCTATTCTAGAACTGAGCCTAGAACATATGTGATCCTTGCTAAGTGTTTGTTGACTGACTTTATGAATGTCTGTAGATACTGGCTGTCCCAGTTCTGTCTTTGGAAAACCCCAGGGGCAGGAGGGGAGGCTTCAGCATCAGCACCACCAGGTGCAGACAGCCCCCTGGCCCCCCCCCCACCACCACTCTCCACGGTGTGTGATTGTCCTGAACACACAAACGTAGCTGCAGCATCAGAACCACAACAGGGAAAAATGAGCAGATTTACCCTCAGAGATGAGGCTCCTCCTCCTGGGATGGGAGACTCTGTGATGCCCCCTGTGAGCAGGGGAGAGGCCTCAGCTCAGCTGCAGCCTGAGTTCCTCAGGGCCCAGGACCCTCCCAGCCCCGCCCCTCCCTCAGCCCCACTCAGGCTCCCAACTGTCTGCTGAGGATCCTGTGTCCACGCACTGGGCCCCCAGAGGGCAGGGAGCTGACCTGGAAGGAAGACCCCAGAGCCCCTCTCCTGGCCCAGCACGTGTTACTGACAGAGCAGGGCTTGTCCTCACAGAGCTGTCCCTGACGGTCACGGCCATGGTGACCCTGCAGAGGCCGTCTGTGTCATTGGTGTCAGCCTCCTACAGGGCGGGCATGAGCTCATCATAGGGGTCCCCCCACACTGCTCAGGGCTCTGGGTACCACCCTGTGGAGGTGCACTCCAGCCAGACACCCCCATCCTCCTGGCCCTTCATCTCAGTGAGGGGCTTGGACCCTACACCTGGGAACAGACAAATAGTCTAAAGTGTCTCATTCCAAAGCATGTTCCTGGCGAGGACCCTTGCAGATCTCTGAGCAGCAGCAGGGCTACTCCGTGGGGTTCCACTGTCTCCCCTGCTCACAGCCCCACTGAGCTCAATGTGCTTCTCAGGACCCAATGCCCACGGCTCAGCAGGACATACCCCCTCACTGGGACCTCGGGCAGGGGGAGGCCACCTGCCAGGATAGAGGGGTCCTAGACAAACATCTGCTGGTCTGTGGGGGGTCATCGACACTGCAGGTAGCACACAAGCAAGGTCACCACCAGCAGTGACTCCACCCCTGGGACCCTGTCCCCCATGTCACTCCCCTCACCTGACTTGTTCCCTCACATCTGTCCCTGCGAGAACGACCCTAGATGTTCCCAGCCTGGCGGGTCTCAGCTCCTCTGACAGCAGCAAGGAGGGCCGCCTGGGTCCCGTCAGTGCAGGGAACGCAGCTCTGCCGGCAGCCAGAGTCAGCAACGCAGACTCGTTGCTGGATGTTCCTGAAAGGACCCAGCCTGAGACACCCTGACTGTAGATCAGTGAGAGCCACGTTGGACTTCTACCTACAGAGATGTGAGGTACTAGATTTTTGCTGTGCTAGGCTGTGAAATGTGTGGTTGTCTATCACAGCATCAGTAGAAAACCAATAATATAATGAGGATTTGTGAGAATGTTCTGAGGAGATAAACTCTTAACCTGGTGAGTTAACTGTGGGACTTAAACCTTGAAAAAGCTGCACTGAAGCTTAAAGATTATTCACAACTTTACTTAACACAGGTGACATGACACCCACATGCGGGGGGAGGGGACTCATGGTGAACAGTCACAGTGACGATGATGAGGAGGAAGAGCGGCCTTTCCCCAGGACCCACAGGTGACAGGAACCTCGGGAACCACAGTGGGTGGTCAGCGGTGGGCGTCCCTGTCCTGGACGTGGGTCCCCCCGTGTGATGGAACTTCCACTGATGTTCGTCTGCCCCTCCCCCCACCGTCCTGCTCACAGAGGACCTTCAGGTGGGAGGTGGGAGGGTGGGTCTGCTCTGTGCCCGCAGGTCACAGGCTGGTTCAGAGAGTGGCCGCTGGTCCCTTCTCAGCCTGTGTGATGGGGTCACTGTGAGTTCACCCTCTGGACCACGGTGTCCTGCAGAGCCCGTCAGTGAAGGGGTGGACCATGGCTCTGACAGTTGACCTTGAAGGATCCAAGTGGGTGTGGCCTTCACAGTCACCTGCAGTGACCTTTACCCTTGGTGCCCTGGGAGGGACCCTCGGGGCTGCTCATGACCCTGCCCAACAGGACAATCAGCTGCAAAGGGACAGACGAGAGGGAGTGGAAGGGGCAGGGGATGGACATCGCCCAGCAACACTGTTTTTGTATGAATGACAAAGGAGATGTAATTTGCAGCTTCCCACAGGGTTCTTGTGAGGATTACTGAGTGAGATTCACCTGAAGCAGGTAGCACAGCTCCCAGTACATGTTAACTTGTCTGTAAATGTCAGCTCTGCTTGTTCGAAGCTGCGTTACCTTCGGAAAGTTAACTGCCCCTTGTGTCCTTAATCTCATGTGGAAAAATTGAATGAATGTCAGTGAAGTCCGTCACTCAGTGTGATTTTAGTGTTTTTTTGCTGAGAGGTTTGCTGTTCAGGACGCCCTCAGCTCCAGGCTGGGCAGCGAGAAGCAGAGATGTTTCTTCAGCCTGAGGGTCCCCATTCCCATCAGCTGATGCCAGGGCCCCTGGGGTCTCCAGGGAAGGGTCAGGCCCTGGGTCAGGCACAAGGGATCCCCCCACTGCTTCCTGCGCTGGGCAAATGGTCAAGGGAGTGGGCTCCGAGGTCCGAGTCTCAAAAACAGGCCTCAGAGGCCCAGAGAAGCGGGCGTGTAGGAAGGTGAAGATGTGAGACCCGTCGAGGGCATTGTAGAACGAGACCTGCCCCAGCTCACAGTCCAGGAAAACCCCCACCCTCTCAGGGGGGTGGACAAGGGTTAGTTTGGTCTGAGGGTTCGTGAGACCACAGTAGTCATTCCCATGAGACTGCCTCATTCCCCAAAATCCATTCTCGGGTATTATTTTAACAGGAAATGTCCTCTCCACATTCTCCCTGCACACCCCAACACACCACTGTCCCCTGTCCCCCACTTCCACCTCCCAGAAGTGTCTCCCTGACGTGAAGCTCTCACAGCCCAGCACACAGAGATTCCCCTGAAATCTCTCGGGGTTGTCTGGCACGTTCTGCCGTGTTTCCGCCCACTGCAGGCTCCTCTTGTCCTCAGAAACACGGAGGGTGGGGTGCGCCGTGTCTGGGTCCAGAAACACATCCGCTGCAGGGGGTCAGAGGGCGTGGGGTCAGCCATGGTGCCCAGACCTCAGAGCCTCAGCCTTCAAGGCCTGGGTCTGCCTTAGAAGGCCGAGTCCAGAACCTGGAGTCCTCAGCCTGCCCTGGACGTGACCCTCTGCCATGCCAAGACATCCCCAGGCGTCTTGTGTTTGGTGAGGAAGGGAAGTGAGCAGAGTTGGGGACAACTTTAATCTGTTTGCTTCCCCAGAATGTCCGTGCCCACCTGTGCTGCACAGTCACATGGATTACATGTCAGCCCTGGCTCTGCCCCCTGAGCTGCAGGGTGTCCTTCCCTGCACAGTCTCTCTTTCCACACACACCAGCTATTGAATACTGAATCTCAGTTTCCTATCTCTAAAGTAGGGGTGAAACTCTAGTCTCTGGGGAGGAATAGGACAAATGGGTGGTATACTGAGCCCCAGGCCGGGCACGGAGGAAGTGCCTGGTGTGACAACAGACTCCGTGTCCCTCCTGTGCTCAGGGCCAGGCTGGGGTCCATGTGCTCTGGGGTCCACTCCCCACCTGTGCCACCCCCTCTGGCCCAGGAGTCAGTCCTCCATGGACAGCACCCCTGGGCCCCTGGGCTCTGGTTACTGTGGGGTTTGGCCAAGGGGAGGCGCAGGCTGGACAGGGGAAGGAGGGAGGAGGGGGGCACAGCACTGACCCTCCAGTCCCCCAGGGAGATGCTCCACCCCAGCACCTCCCCCCAGGAGCCCCCCCTGAGCCCCAGCTGCCTCCTCCAGGCCCCAGGGAGTCCTCCCTGTCCCTCTGCCCTCGGCCCAGGGTGGGTCACAGCTCCCACTGCTGGGAGCCCTGGGGCCCAGTCGTCCTTGTTGGTTTCCCTAATGTCACCCCACCTGTCACTGTGAACACACCCGACCCCATCTCTGTGTCAGGGATTTCCTTCACCTCTTCCTGCTGTGACCTTTGACCCACCTCACTGTCCTCAGCCAGCACACCAAGGCCTCCAGGTGACGGTCATCCGTGTCCCTTAAACACGGCCATGAGCACTTGTGTCACTAACAGCCAGGGTGACAGGAGCACCAAGGTCAACTCCACACTGGAGATCGTGTGGATTATAAAGGGTCACCTGTCACAGGACCACCGGGAGGTGTGGCTGGTGCTGCCGCATTCTCTGTCCCTGTTCCTGTCAGTCATCAGTGCCCGAGTCACAGTGTGAGAAAGTGCTGTAAGGGGTGTGTTGTCAGGGAACAATCTGTGCAGGTTGGGGGGTCCTCTGTCCTCTCTCACCCTGCACCCCTGGGAGGGAATCAGCCTACAGCACAGTCTGTTTTAGTCTGGGCCGTTGCCTGCCTATTTTTAAGTCTTAAGACACCTTCCACCACCCTGACCCCTGCAGCTCAGTTGGATGTGCTTCTTCCTGCAAAGCAGAATGTTGTAGGTTCGATTCCTGGCCACTGCACATGCCTGGGTCCTGTGTTCATGCCCAGAGTTGGGGTGCATACTAGAGGCAGGGGATCGATGTGTGTCTCTCTCTCTTTTTCTCCCTCCCTTCCCTTTTCTGTATAAATAAACAAACAAATAAATAAATAACTTTATATTAAGAAAAGATACCTTCTCCTCACCATGGTCATTACCATCAGACAAACACCCCCTTCAAACACGCCGTCTGTTTCCTGCGGGTGCTCTGACAACACACAGTCACCTCCTCACTCAGTCCTTGTCCCAGCCCTCACAGAGCAGCAGTGACTGTGGGACAGGGCAGAACTCGGGGACACACAGGGGGCAGGAGGAGG